AGAACTAATGTACCAGTATCGATACACTGTTGCGAACTAAAGTCCACACTTCATGCAGGCACCTTAGTTCTCTCTGATGTTCTTTTTCTGTTCCAAGAGCCCTTCCAGGGCACCACAGTACATTTAGTTGTCACGTCCCCTTAGCTTCCTCTTGGCTGTGACAGTTTCTGGGACTTTCCTTATCTTTGATAATCTTGACAATCTAATTGTGAGTGCTGGTCAGGTATTTTTGTAGATCGTCCCTCATCTGAGGTTTGTGTGGGTCTTTGGGTTTTTTTTTGTTTTAAACTTCGCATGACTCAACTGGTATTTATGGGTTCTTGGGAAGAACCACAGAGGCAAAATGTCATTCTCATCACATCATGTTGAGGGTACCTGCTATCAACCTGCTTCTCCCTGAGGATGTTGGCTGAGGTGGTGTCGCCAGCTGTCTCCACAGGGAAAGTCCCCCCTCTCCCCTTCCTTAGTCTTGGGAAGGAAGGCGTAGGCACAGCCCACACTCAAGGAGTAAGGAGTCAAGTTCCTCCTCCGGACGTCAGGTGACATGTCTACCCAAATTATTGGGAATTCTGTGCAGGGAGTTGTGTGGTCTCCCTCCCTTATTTACTCAATCATTTATTTATATCAGTATGGACTCACAGTTATTTTATACTTTGGGTTCTAATCCGATACTACTTGATTTTCTTGCTCAAATTGTCCGCACATCAGCCATTGGAAGCTTGTTCATTTTGCTACCCAGTCCCCAGACGTGCCCATCCCCTTGGCGTTTGGTTTTGCTGTAGTTTCTGGGCGCTGCTTTACATGCTGGCAGCACGCGATGCTCGTGCTCATCTGCTCTATTTCCTGCCCCCAGCCTAGAATGGTCATTTCTCCAATGGGCCCTGGTTCCTTCATAGAGAGAATGGGATTCGAAACCCAGATCTGGGTGCTGAGGGTGCGCTCATTGCTACTTCGTGTCATTGTTTCTAGGCCTTCAGAGTTGGCAAAGCCAGGAAATGTATGTATGTACACTGCAGGCCTTTTTTTAACATGTAAATCACAGCCTGCCACTCCCCAGCTCCACTTCGAACCCCCCCTCTGCTTCTCACCACTCCTTTAGCCAAATCCCACACCCCCAGCTGCCGCTTCTTCAGACGCTCTTGCTCCTGCTTCCACCCCAGCCCACCCTCACCCTGCCGGGCCTCCAGCACGCTGCTGCTCCGCACCTCTGCGCTGGCTCTTCCCACTGCCCGGGATGCTCTTCCCTCGGATGCAGCCAGCGCTCCTCCCCTCCCCTCCTTCCGATCATCCCCCTGCCTAAAAATCCTGACCTCAGAGCGGCCACGGTCCCCACCTCCCCCTCCCCCAACTCCTAACCTGCCTGGTCCTTCTTCAGCATGCACTTGCTCCATGACACTGTATCTTATTTTCACGCTTCATAGTTTTCTCTGCCCTCCGAGGACAAGCTCCCTGAGGGCGGGTCTCGGCTCCCACTGTGCTGTATCCTGGGGCCCAGAGCTGTAGCAGCCAAGCTTGGAAATGAGTCCGGGTTGCAAAGGCAGGGGCCCCCCCTGGTGTGTGGAGGGCGAGGAGGTCGGATTCAGCCTCAGGCCTCCAAACCCCACTGCTCCCCACCTCAAACCCTGCTCCCTCTGCCCCCATTCCACAATCTCCCACAGCTGCGGAGAGGAAGAGCTTTGGAGGATTTGTTTAAAAGTCAACTGCTGTTTCTTGAACATGACTTTTGTCCAGGGCAGGGCCTTGGGTCTACCCCCAGCCCCAGGTCAGGAGGTGCTGAAGTGACCCCCTGGGGGTTGCACAGTTGGTAGGTGGTTGGACTGGAATTTGAACTCAGGCAGCTTGGATTTGGACTTGTTGGTGTTTTACAAAGAGGGTAACTCTGTTTCTGTTAGGAGCCCCATTCATTTGGGGCCAGAAACTCAATCTCCATCAGCTAAACCCTAGCCCCACAAGGGCATGGTTCTTCCGGGCTACCTCTAAGCTCTCTGGGTCTTTCTGGACCCTTCAGTGCAGCCCTGACCCAGGATGAAGTGCAGAGGCACAAACCTTCCGCCTCTAAGTCATTCCCCAGATGGCGGGGGCTCAGCCTGGGGATGGGGGCTGCAAGGCCCTCCCGCCTGGTCACTCTCCTCTGCTCCTCGGAGCCCATGTCCTCACAAATCAGACTTTATAGGAATCAAGTCTAACCCTGGCCTAGTTCTCAGAGATCCGTGCTACCCTTTCCCAGCCCCAACCATTGTGCTGTCCAGGGTAGCAGCTTGCTAAGTTGTGTTGACTGGGACATGCAGCCCCAACCATTGTGCTGTCCAGGGTAGCAGCTTGCTAAGTTGTGTTGACTGGGACATGCAGCCCCAACCATTGTGCTGTCCAGGGTAGCAGCTTGCTAAGTTGTGTTGACTGGGACATGCAGTAAAAAATGCATTTTACTTCTGGACTTAATGCAAAGTCACATGTACCTAAAGCTGCAGGGACTGAAGCCCACTCTTACTACATGGAGCACAATCTGATACTTTCTATTCTGTTCCATTTTTATAAACTTGACTCACTAAATGGATTCCCATTAACCTAATGTGTTACTATGTCACAATGTGCTGTTGCTGTTACTGAAAATACTGTCCCAGGGCAGAAACGATCCGGTCCAGCAAGGCACAAAGGCTGTTCTACAATAACTCAGTAACAAATATTTTCTAGGGGGTTCACTCTGTGTCAGATACTGTTATAAGCATTTTATATGTATTAACTCACTTAAGCCTAAAAACAACTCTAAAACTTGAAAGCCATGAAAGTAAGCATCCCCATTTTTCAGACGAGGAAATGGAGGCACAGAGAAGTCAAGTCACTCACCTGAGGTCACACAGTTCCACAGTGGCGGTGCTGGCCTGTCTGGCTCCAGCGAAGGCGCCCTTAACCGAGAACCTTCGCCACACTTCTATGGCCAAGACGAAAGGGCAAGGGTTTGAGTCCTTCCTGGAAGGAAAGACCCACAGCACAGTGGGCTTCCTGCCAGGATGGGGCCTGAAGGCAAGTGGCTGGAACACTTCGTGGAGGGGCTGAGGAAGTGGGCTCCTCACATTTGCAACCCTGCACCCCAGTGCTCAGCTTAGGTCTGGCTGCCCTGTGATAACCCTGCTTGTAGGCATGTGTGGGCGTTGGTGGTGAAGCCACTCAAGGTGGAGCAGAGCAAAGATGCTCACTGCATCTGTGAGAAGCGGTGGTGGCCGGCTGGCTTTTGGAGGGGGAAGTTCTGCAGGAGAGGTGGCAGGCAAGAAGGAAACAGGCTGGGGGGCTCGTGTGCTCCTCCGAGTGGCCTGCAGTAGGCCTTCAGCCCGCCCAAACCTGCTCCCCAGCACCCCTGCCTCCCATAACCAGGACCTCCTTGCCCTTCCATAAAATGGGGCCAAAGGATTTCCTCCCCACTCAGGTCATGTGAGTAAAAACATTGACTTCCTTACAGCGAAGGTGCCACTTTTCTTCTAGGATTGCTGTGAATTCTCCACTGTGGCTGGTCCATTTTACTTACAGTTCAAAGGGGACTTGAAGTAGCTTCCTCCCAAACACACATGCCAATGGTTAAAAATAAAGCAAGAAAGAGATCAGAAACCATAGAGAGGAAGGCAGGAGGCGAGTCTGTCAGGAACAAGTGACTGCACTTGATGTTACAGACGGAAGAGGGAGGGAAGGTCTCTGGTCTGGTCTCAAAAAGGAAGCAGAGCAGGTTTTCAGAAAAGCAAAAAAGGTCTTAGACTGGGCCTCAGCAGTGCGGTCAAGGAGCAGCCAGACCCTTCCTGACTGACTGTGGATCCCCACAATGATTCAACCTTCCTGAGTCTGCTGTATCTGCAAATTGAGGGAGATAAGGCCCTGGGAGGCTGTTGTAGGGATCAGAGATAAATCACCCCATGTGAAGCACATCTTGGCACTTGGTACACCTCCATTCCCCACCTCGCGCCCTGGAAAGCATGGCCTTGTGTGGCTGGTAGCAAATATGTATTCAGTGAAGCGTTCTCCTGGGTGAGGCACAAGCCTTCTTAATCTGACCACCTCTTACAATGAACCCTGACAACCAGGCAGTAGGGTTTGAACAGCAACTGAGTGAAAGTAGAGCTCGGCCCCGGGGTTCGGGCCCCCTCAGGGCAGGGGGCTTACCGTGCCCGTCAGATTTTCCCTCTGAAATGTCCATTTCTCTTCCTGCTTTTGGCAGTCTCTCCCTGGAGAGCTCTGGAGACCTCTGCCGAGGACCAGTGATCCGGGCCTGGGGTGGGAGTGAGGCTGTGAGCCTCAGACATTCGGCTGGGAAGGATGTTAGGGTACAGTCCCAGGGACAGGCCCTTGGGACCTCCTGGTCCCTCTGCAGGTGTCCGGTTGGGAGTGCAAAGCCTGCAGCCTAGATCTTAGAAAACTGGGCCCGTGTAGGAACCCATGCGCCTTGCCGGAATTCTCTGCCCCTTTCCTGGCTAGAAATGGAACAGTCTGTTCTTCTCACTGCGGCAGCCGCTGCTGGGCCCAAGGTGGCCCTGGGAGGCCAGGCCATCTCTGGGGGAAATAGCCCCTTTCCAGGCCTCAGTTTCCTTATCTGTCCAAACGAACAAAACAGGAACTTTACCTTCCAGACCAGTTGCAGAGGGTCCTTTAAGTCATTGTTTAAGCATATTTAAGGATTGACTTGGCTCATCTCCCATGACATCCTAGAAGGATTTGAAACCACTATTGTAATCTTAGGGGATGGCTAGCCTCTCCAGCTCCAGCCCCCTACCCTGCGCTCCGGATCCACCAGAGCCTGCAGGCCACCGCTTCTGGGGATTCTCAATTGTCTCCCTGCTTTTCTTACCCTACCTCACGCCTGGTTACCTTGCATTTGGTGCTGCGGGCGCTTCTGGGCGCCTCTAGCTGCAGTTATGGTTTCTCGCATGCCCTCCAGCTCTTCTCTGGCCGTTGTTTGTGGAAGGTGTGATGGCGGTGGTGGTGGGTTATGGGCTCCTAGGACCTTTATTTTGTAGTTTTCCTTAGGGTAAAAAGAACACTTGTTTTGAAGAAGGGCAAGGTGTAGCTTTCAGAGGCACCCGGGATGATCTCCCTCCAACCGCAGACGGGGTGGGGATTTAGGGGGTGGGCAGAGTGGGGGGCAGACGGGGAGGCAGGAGGACCTGTTGTTTTTCCTGTTGTAAGTAAAAAGGAAACAGTGGAAAGTGGAGTGTGCGGGCTGTCAGCAGGCGGGGCGCCCCCACCGCGCCCCGCCTCCCTCCCTCGAGACTCACTCTAGCGCAGCTCCCTCGCTCCAGCGGCCGCCCGGCCGCCGGCCGGAGCCGTCCCAGCCCCTGCCCGCCGCGCCGGGACCGGTAAGCGCTCTCCTCGGACTGCATCTGGAGAGCTGGGGAGAGGACCGGCGGGACAGGGACTTTGGGGAGCCTCGGGGAACCGTGGGGCCGCCTCGTGGGCACGTTCCAGAGCGCACAGCCTTTGCGCCCTGGCCCGGTGCCTCCTGCGCCTAGCGAGCCCGGCAAGGGGCGCCCCCGGGCTGACCGCTGGGACCTGAGCCGAGGCTGCGTTCGCGCCCCAGGCCGCTCCCGGGGCGCCCGCGGAGAGGAACGCGCACAGCTGGCGGGGCCCGGGCTGCCCTTCCTGCCGCGGTGCGGGGAGCCGGGAAGCGCCTGGCTGCGGGTCCTCTGCCCCGAGGCGCCCGGCCGCGCGGAGAGGAGCGGGATGCGTTCCCACCAGCGGTGCCGAACCCCGCGCTTCCACCGAGGCGCGGGAGAGGGGCGCGCATGCCCCCCGACGCGCGCCCTCCCAGCCCTGGCGATCGGGGACCCGGGCTGGAGGGGCCACAGCCAAGTCCGCCGGCGCCCCGCGCCACCTCCCGGCCCCTGCACGTGCGAGCCCTGCCCTGCAGAACCCGGGCCGCGGGCGCGACTCGCCGCTTGCTTACTGCAGCCGCGCCATCTGCCCCCGGCTCTGCGGCCGTGTCCGGGTTACGGCGGCAAAACCGCCTCCAGCTTTGCATTTCCGGACTCTTTTTTTCTTCTTTTTTCATACTCTTACCCGTAATTCAGCCTGAATGAAGCTGCTTTTTTTTTAGAAGTCGAGTTTCCTGTTTTTATTTAGGCGTCCTCCTCTGCACCTCCCTTGAAATCTCTAGGAGAGGGGAACAGGGACATCTGCGTGGGGACCAGGATGCGGGCACTGCATAGCCGGTTGCGCTCTGCCATGGCGGGGAGACAGCGGTCCAAAGAGCCGGGAAGGGACTGCTGCGTGGCCCCGAAAAGGCCGCTGCAGGAGGGGAACAAGGTGGGGATGGGATTTCCAGTGTCGGGGCTCGGGGAGCTCCCTGGGGGCGGCTCACGCTGGTGGCCCAGGGACCAGGCTCTCTCCCGCGGCACTCCTGGGATCTGCCCGGTTTGTGGTCGGAGCGGGGAGCGATGAGCAGCTTTCACTTAGTCCAGGCGCCCTGGAAGGAGAGACTGCGGCTCTCAAAACCCACCAGACTCAGGTGGGCTTCCCCACCCGGGCTCCTGCAGAAGCACCACTGGACGCCATCCTCAGAAATGCTCTGCAGGGTAGCAGGTGTATGTGGGGCGGGTGTGCCTTTCTGGACTCGGGTTCCTCTCTCGGAGTCTCCGAAGAGAAGAGTCGCGGCTCCAAAGGGACTTTGAAACTGAGTGTGAATCTCACTGCTCACTTCCCTGAGAGCTGCACGCCGCTGTGGTGCCTGACGCTCTTTGGAGTTTCTGTTCAGTGAATGGTACTCGCGCCCCCCCTCCCCACACACAAGAATTGATCCTTTTTACATATGCGTAAAACGACCAGCGGATGGAGCTGGATGTCTCCATTTCCCAGGGGAGAAGGCTAAGGCTCGGAAAAGTCCAATTACCTGCTGGCCCGCACAGTGTACACGTACCTGATCCGGAATCCCATTTCCTTCAGAAGGCCAAAGCGTGTAATCATCTGGAGGTGCTGTTGCTTACAGATTAAAGAGAATGTTTTCTATTAGTTCCCACCTAATAGGTGTGGGGATGGGGAGGTTGGGGCCCTTCCTTGATATTCATACCTTGATCTCAGTAAAACCTGCTATCATTAACCACCAGCTTTGGTCGATGTGAACGGTGTGGATGAAGACCCCTCTGATTTGGGAGGCTGCCTCCAAACACTAGGAGATAGGAATAGAACCTTCTCTTTTGCTCTCTCTAGAGCAAAAATTGCCACCCTCTTAGCATTTCCATGCACTGCTGTGGTTTGATTTCTTGACATCATTCCGTCCATCCCGGCTTATGAGAACACTGCTTAGCATATGCTGAGGTTAATTCTCTTTGGGTGCTTCTGCAAACTCCTCCAAGTAATGGAGAGCATTCTGGCGTGCACTTAAAACCTACCTGGCAGTTGCCTGCTCTAAAGGCAGCCAAACCTACGTCTTTCTGAGTCCCTGCCCCCACACCAGCCCAGTCCACACTTACACCTCTTCACCATCGTTTAGAAACAGCACTAGCCACTTGGGGAATATAGATGTTGCTGGATTAGTGCCCCAGAGGTGCTTCTGGCCACACTAAGATTCCCTTCCAGCAGGAGAGGCTGCATTTCTGCAGCCTCAGTCCCTGCCCTGGAAGGGTGCATAAAGCATGTCTGTGCATTATGCTGTGGACTCCATCTTTTATCTTCTTCACTAACTTTAGCAAGTATTTAATGAGATCCCCCTGGGGGCCAGGGGCTGTGGTAAGAACAAGGCCGGCCAGCAGGCAGGGAGGGTATTTGCCCCTGGGCGTTGGGGGTGGGTTTACGGAACAGAGCATCCACAGATCCTTAAGAGACCAGCCCAGATCCAGTTAGCTTTTGCACCCAGCACTGTGGTGTCTAGGGAGTTTGGGGGTGTGTGAATGGGGGCTGATGGGTCAGTTCCTGCTTCACTTTATTTTTCTTCAATTGCACAGTTAAAGGGAGAAGTGAATGTGCAACTTATGAGGCAATTCCCCTTTGGTTTGCTTATTTTTCAAAACCATTCTTGTTTAGAGAGCAGTTCCCTCCCTCCCAGAGGCCAGCTGCTTCTGTGGGTCTGATGGTGGGGCTTGGGGCCTCACCAAATGTTTCCTTACCCCGGGACCTCAGAAGGGCTCTTCAGCCGCTCCCAAGGAGAGAAACCTGTTTCCCAGCAAAGCCATCAAGGGACAGGTCCAGAGGGAAGTGCTCCCGAAGTATCGGGGAGCGCCCTTGGCCAACTGGCCGGCGGAAGTATGTGGTAATTCACCTCCGGCTGGAGGGCAGCAGGAGCCTGCCTTGTTGGGAGGGAGGGAGGCGTTCTAATCTCTGGACCAGTGTTTCATAAATGGCAAAGGTTGCAAAACTCCTCTCTCCTTGCAGTTAATACCAAAACTGAGTTTTCTTTAATTTGCTTGGTGGAAATCCCCGGCAATCATATCAGAAATGCTGCCAGTTTCAAGACGGAAAACAAAACAAAAAAAAAACCTGGGAACCTCCCTCCTCACTCTTTCCTTGCAGACAACACTGTGACAGACTAAAATCTGGCCTGCTGTCCCCTCCCTTCAGGCCAGCACAGTCCCTGGGGCGGGAGGTTGGTGCTTTAAAGCGCTGGCTGGCTGTGCATGGGAAGCCCCCCTCCGGCCACTCCCTCTCCAGCCCTGAAGGGATAACCTTGCCCCTCAGATAAGGGCCAGAGCTTCTCCTGGAAATGGGTGCTTTCCAAGGCCGCCTACTTTCAGAGCTGAGAGGGAGAGCGTTCGGAGCAATGGGTGTGGCGTTTCTGGTAGCTTCTGTTTCACTCACCTTGGGGAAACTGTTCTCCACTTCGAGAAAACACCGGGAGAGTGACAGCAGGTGGGGAAGAGGTGGGGGAGCAGGCGAGAAGCCCAGAAAGGGCGCAGGCTGCCCACGTTGGAGTTGGTGTCCTGGAGGGATGCTGATATTTCTTTTCTGTGGCTGCTGTAACAAATGACCACACATTTTCTGGCTTAAAATGACAAAAATGTATTTTCTCACCGTTTTAGAGCTCAGAAGTTCAAAGGCAAGGTGTCAACAGGGACTTGCTCCCTCCAGGGGCCTTGGGAAGAATGCTTCCCAGCCTCTCCCAGCCTGCGGTGGTTCCAGGCGTTCCTGGCTTCTGGCCCCACTCTGCTCTCTGGTCCGAGTTCACGTGGCTTCTCCTCTGTGCCTTCTGTTTCTTCTAAGGTCACATGTCAAGGGATCTAGGTCTCACCTGGATGGATGAGCTCAAGACCCTCAACTTAATTGTACCTGCAAAGACCCTTTGTCTATGTCATTTTTCCAAATAGTTCACAGGTTATGGGGGTGGAAGACACAGTCGGACATGTCTTTTTGGGGGCCACCATGCAGCCCACTGCAGATGGACGGGAGTGGGTTTCTGTCAGTATTTTTTGGAGCAGGTGTTGAGCACAGTTATCTTCGCCAGAAACCAAACACTTCCCTGCTTCTGGGCCCTATGCTGCCATTTCTCCTGGTGACTCCAGGCAAGGATTTCAGGGTCCCACTGTCTCTAGCCCCCCCTCTTCCTCCCTCTGCCTCACTTTCCCCAGCCCTGTGGTGAGGCAGCCACCTCAGTGGTCAGTAGTCAGCTCCACTGATAGCAGCCTCTGCAGTCTCCAGGGTCCCAAGAGCAGATAAGGAAACTTCTGGAACTGGGGAGGAACTAAGTTCTCCCCCTGCAGAGAACTGCCTGGGCCCCTCCTCCTGTCCTCTCGCCTTCCTACCCTTCCTTCTCTCTCTTCAAGGACAGTCCTTTCTCTGCTCAGGGTTCCCTCAGCCCAGGCTCCCTTTCCATGGTCTGGGGCCTCACAGCCCCTCACATTTTGGAGTTTTCCTCTGCTGAGCAGCCCCCAGGAGAAGTGAGGAACAGGGCTCAGCTTGGCTGCTGTGTCCCTTTGTCCTCCTGAGGGGCCACCATTGTGGGACAGGGGCTGGTGGTACTGGAAGGGATTTGGGGAGCTCCCCCAGTCATTGAAGGTTGTAGGAGGGGGAGTGTGAGGACATGGAGGTGCCCGGGGCTAGCTGTAGGGATAGGGCCAATCTTCTGCCTCCCCCCTGGGAAGGGCTTTGGCTCTGAAATCTGGGAGAAGTGCTTTCTTATCAGTGGGGAAGCAAGATCATAGCCCTGTTACCAAAACCTTGAAAAGTCCTTTGTGTCTGGGGAGGGTGTGTGTGTGAGGGAAGTGTGGGCAGGTCTGGAGGTGGTGATGGGGGTATTACCACATGGGAGAAAACATACTATCTTTGGAGTCAGACTGGGTTTTAATCTCAGCCAGCTTCTATCTGTCTGGTGCCCTAGGCAAAGCGCTCAGCTCCCAGGTGTGACTCAGGAGTACTGTGAGAGGTCATGTAC